CTAGGTTTTGCTTTTTGTACTCTGAACAGTATGGAAAAATTCCATCTGCTGAATCTTGCTGAATCCTGCTTGCTTGCATTACTGTAGGCAAGAATTAACTACCTACTCTCATGGTTTTACAGTTTTGGTCATTTCAGTGACACAACTTGCGTGCTGGTTGTACGTCTGTCAGATCTTCCACAGATGAGGCTTCATTTAAAGGAACTAATGGGTTTTTACAGTGCCTTGTGAGCCAGTACACCACTATTTCTGAAGCTTTTCTGCAGACAGAACTCTCTTTGAAGTCAATGGGAGTTTTGTCTGAATAAGGACTTCAGGATTTGGGCCTCAGGATATAAATGCTGTGATCAATCTTTTGAGCATAATGAGTAACATTTTCTTGGCTTTCAGAACTATACTAAGCCAAATAGTAGCCCCAGGGATTGAAAATGGGTTAAACAGGAGAATCTGCTTTATTTCAACCTACATCTTTATTTAGCTTTTAAATTAGCATAGTCCCCATGCCTAGTACTGAGATGCCTGAAAAAATGCTCCAACAATAAGACCAGATGTTTCCATAGTTAGTTTTACAATCAAACCTATCATGGCATAAGGCACAATGAAACAGAGTTGTGATCAACGAAAAACAAACACACTTGCTGTAGACTGACCTATTTAGAAGAAGTTGCAACCTGAACACAGAGTCTGGAACAAAAGACTTGAAGGCTGAGAACTTTATTAATTACGTGACAGGGAGGTCTGTAGGCACTGATTTTGATCAGAACATCGTAGTACCAGACACTGTGCAAACATCAGAGTTAGTGATACAAAAAGTCAACAGTCTGAGCAGGCACAACAGATGCTCCCTCTCTCCTATTCCTTAGAATTACTCTGACTTTATAGATGGAAAGTTCCGCTACGGAGAGATTATACGACTCACCAAATACCTCTCACGAAGCCTAGAATGGAACCTGCCTGCCAACCTGGTGCCTTACTGTTGAGACTATGCTCCCTCTTTTACACAATGATAACAGTATATTACAGGACTTAAAAAAATCATAGCTTCCCATCCCTGCCCCAGCCTTCCCAGCCACTTTCCCCCCTGAAACCACAGACCTAGGTTCTTCCCATTACCTGGGATGAGAGTTTTACCAGTGCTGATCTCAGTGGCAGCAAGTCTAGATCCAGTGGTGAATGACACCCCAATAGGGGCAGCTCTCAGAGCAAGCAGCAGGGCATCAGCAGTGTGGGCAGAGCAAAACTCCCTTGCATTTTCAATCCTCACAGGTTATCATGCAACTGGATTAAGGAAATGAGGTATAAGAAAACCCAGAGGAAAAAATAGACTGTAACAAGAGAAAGAAGAAAAAATACTGTAAATTCTTGTTGCCTGAATATTTTGCAACTCTTACCTTTGTGAACGCATGAGTGAAGGTGCATAGATGAACAGCCCAGTTCCTTTCCTGGAGTCCCAGGTCTAATGTTGGCCCTTTAGTGTTTTGGTGGAGGAAGTCCTGCAACTTCTGTTTCTACCCACAGTCAGTGGAGAGTCTAAAAGAACTGTAAATACCATGTTGGTATGCATTGCAATGGGAAAATGTTGAAGCCTTCAGGTATGAATATATATGGGACTGTCACTAGCAGACACAAAAGTGTTTTGGAGAAGCAACTCCATCCAAAGCTGGTAAGGGAAACATAAAAAGCAATGTATTACCCGGAAGACGAGCAACGGGACTCCCAAACACAAGTTCATCAGCTGGAAGAATTTCTCCACAGTATCAATAAAATCGAGAACATCTCCACCAGAAATACCCTGACACAGCTGAACCTACTTAAACAAGTAAAGTCTTGTTCAGCCTACAACTTGCAGCAGTGATGTAAACAGCCTTCTGATTCAGTTGTGTTTGTAGATGGTTTCCAGGCTGTGCTTCGTTGATTTCTTCTTTTTCTTTTCTTTTTTATGTCCAGGTAATGAGTTCCCTTCCCTTCAACTAGGTCAAAAACCCTCTGACTTCCCCAGTTTCTTCAAAGCTTTGGCTCTGCTTCCCTGCATGGATTTAGTCCAGGTGCTAGGCTGGTTCCTCCCCAGAAGCTTCCCAGTGTGATCCACTCTCTTATCTTGGTTCCTGATCTTGAGGGAAGAGGCAAAACAGACAGCAAGGAAAGGCATGTAGCAAGAAACAGCTCAAGGCCACTCAGCAGTTCAATTTGTCCACCTCAAAGATGAGGACAAAGTAATGTATTTTTCCTTTCAAATTTAGAAACAAAGAGGTATTTTAGTTATAGCAAAACAGTTCCATAAGCCTCCTCTCCTCCCCCTTCCCCTAGGGTATGGGACCCTGCTCATCCCCAGGGAGCACAGAGATGCAGATGGACTCAGAAAGCCCATCCCAGGGAGCTTCAAAGAGTCCCCTTATGCAACCCACCACCACCACGGGGAGATGGGTGGGTATGGCATGGGCTGGCATGTCATGAAAGACAAGGGGAAGTGAGCAGTCACGTGCAGCACTGCTCAGCTGCTTCTGGGGCGACCCATGGGACAGCTCCTTCACAAGCCGGTCAGATCACCGCTACGTGATCCTAGCTGGCAGGGAGCCCTCAGCTTTTAGAATCCCACAGAATCTGAGATTGGTCCTTGACACTTCCTTCATCCCCAGTTTGGAAACTGTCTAGGCAATGGAATTTAGTTGCTTATGCCCAAAGAGAAGACTGCAACTTGCTTTTATCTGCCCTATTTGCACATATATTTCTTGGGGACAGGTATAAGAAGACAGGGCTGGAGAAGTTGCTCTGTGATAAATTCAGACACAATCCTACTTCTTAGTTGTCGGAACACCCTCTTCCCTTGCCTTTGAGGGCTGTAGGATAAAAAATTATATGTATCATCAAAGTATGTATGTTAAGATCCTATCTGCACTATGAATTGTACTTGGGCACCCGGATTCAATACAGCAGTAGCCGAAGCAGCCTCTGGGGTAGCACCACTGGAAACAAACTGTGCTCTCTCTGGGGCACTGCAAGCTATGAAATTATTTCCTCAAATAAGCATCTT